AACACACAGAATATTTTATTTATTTCAAAGTTTTATTTTTGAGTTTCACACACACACATACGCGTCTCTCTGCTTGTTTTACTTGCCATCTTTGTTTCAAGAATAATGTATATAAATATATACAAATAACTACTAGCGTAATCAATTCAGTTTTCATTCAAGTGGAGGTGCTGTTGGAATTCTTCTGGTATTGATAGCGTACAACGAGCTTTGCTTTGTAGACTCGTAATAATGCTGATTTTTGTTTCTTCGTGTTTCAACTGCGGGAGCATCCTTCGGAAACGGATCATTGACCGGCCGGGGTGCTATTCTTTTACTTTTCATGTAAGAGCTTAACTGAGTAGGAACCTAAAACAACCAAACAATTCCATATAAGCTGCTGCCTTCTTACCTCTGCTAGCACTTCCTTAGCTAATGTAGCCATGACATGTCGATGATTTTGTAAAAGACCATTTTTTAAAAACTTTTTCATCGGTACAAACTGTAAACGATTGTTTTGAACAGGATTGATATCGCTGTCGCTCTCACTTGAACTATATCTCTCTGAGCATAGACTCCATCAATGTTTATCAAGTTGTCATCCCCGTCCAACTCATCCATCGCCTCAAAATCTGCTTGACCAACCCCGATAATTATGATTGAAAGCGGTAACTTCGATGCCTGGGAAGCAATAAATAATTTGTTATTTAATGAAAATATTCACTTTTATGATTTCTCTCTTTGTATTCTCTAAATCGGAAATGGCTCCATCTGTTATGATGAGAAGAATCTGTCAAAACAACACTTCAATTGATTGTCAAATATGAAAAATGAACCTGATATCGAGAACCGGGAATATTCAGCTTCTCTTGAAATCTTTCTGTGATTCCTTGAATGATGGGTGCGAAGTTAGTTGGTCCAAACAGATGGACTTTCCTTAAACATCCACGATAAGCATCCATGACTCCATCAACTCCGACAACAGCCGGATCAATCACAGTCGCCTGAAGATACTATTTATTTGAAACAATTTCTGAGAAAATGATTAAACCTTTGGATTTTTAACATCAAATAGTTCAGTGTTCTCCAGCCGAGGTGGAACGATGGCTCCGAAACCGAAAGCATCGAATATTCGACTGTTATTATAGAATTGACAAATTTCCAACACAGCTCTATAAGGGCAGCATCAGTTATAAGTATAAAAGAAAGTTCATGAGAGAGAGAGGGAGAGAGAGGGAGAGAGAGATAGAGAAAGAGGAAATAAAATTAAAAGTGAAATAAAATTTAAAAACCTGATAGCTGTTTCGTATTGATTGGGAACATTAATTCCAATAAAATGAAGTGATGATGGCTCTTCAACATTGCCATTTGATGCCGTAAAGTCTATGGCAACTGCGAAATCCAATTGGGTACTTCAAATGAAGTTAGTCGTTAACGGAATATCAATGAAAGAACAAAAGAACTTACCCGCCATTTATATAATTAAGAAAGCTATATTCCATATGACATTTGATATTAAACAACAAAATTCCGGAATGTTCATATTTTTTACCCTTTTTCTCTTTTTTCTTTCCATTTACAAGCTGAAAAGAAAAAAATTTTTTATCTCACTTTCACCTCACTCCCTCTCTCTCTCTCTCTCTCTCTCTCTATTTCTCCCTCTCTCTCTATCTCTCTACCTCTCTGATATTTTCAACAAAAATGTTACTTTTATCCGAGTTGAAGGCTCCAACAGATGATTGACGCTCGTCACATATTCTCCAATCAGATCAGGTTTGGCACTGCAAGAATAAAAAAAATAAAAAAGAGAAAAAATGTGTTTGAACCTACGATTTGCCATCGTTGTTATCCCAACAGACAATGCTAACGTTTCTGTTATGTTAAGCAGTGTTTAAGATGTTTCAATCAAATCACAATACCTTGTCTTATCTCCGAAGCACAAAGCTTGCATATCAAGTCGGAATGGCCTCCATGTTGGATTCAACGTCTTCCTTACATATTCAGTTCGATGAACGAGACTTTTACTAAATCAATAAGATGAATGTAATGAAGTCTGAGTGTTAACTATTACGTTCCATCCTTATTGAATCGATATACTTCTAAATATGGATCACTTTTTCCAAAAAGATCTTTTTTATCTAAGTTTTCTCCTTTGACAAAGAATTCCAAAATTTCCCGGGCACCCTGTTGCACTTCTACACTTCGAACCATGATGAATCCGCTATTCTTCTTCAATCCACTGAATCAGAATACATATTCAGAATAGTTTGTTTGATATTATAACCTAAGTGACTTCTGAAAGACTTCAATCGAAACAATCTCCGCTAAGTCGCATTCCATTCGACCAAGAAAATCTTGCTGGCTCAAAGGTTTTTTTTCACAGTCAATGTCATATCTTGAAAAATAAGAAAAGATTTTTGAAGATGAAGCAGAACGTTTTACATGTCAAATCGCAAATTCTGTTTTTCCTCAAACATGTATTCCAACTCAATTTCTTCCGACCACTCTGGATTTAAACAGTTTCGAATCATCTCTGTTCGTCCAATCTCTACCCAGCTTTCTAAGCACAACATGATATATGACTAGATGTTAGGGATGAAGTAATCATTACCTCCTGTATCGAGTGAATGTTTTAATTTGTAAACAACACATAATGGATCACTTTTACTAAATAAATCTCGATTCTTCAATTCACTGAAGATCTCAAAGATGATAGTGTCAGGAAAGCAAATCCTCAATCTTACCCAGCTTTAATGATAAGCCTGACTGATGGAGCCGTAGTGAAATTAAAAATATCACCCATCAAATTTTTAAGAAAATAATCAAAAAAAGTATTTCACAAGTTGATTTGAAGTTTGTTGAAGTCGATTGCACTTGCCTGATACATTCAAAAATCAATATTAAACTTTGTTAAAGATTCTGTTGTTATCTGCAAGGATAAGAATTAAGAGAGAGAGAGAGAGAGAGAGAGAGAGAGAAAGGTAGAGAGAGAACAGAATAAAGGAGAACGACAAGAAATAAACGAACAAACCGGGATGACAAAAAGAAAATATAAATTTCCAATTTCACTCTCTGTCTTTTTAGCACATTCTCAATCTATCAGTCACTCCCTCTCTTTTTCTCTCTCCCTCTTTCTCCCTCTCTTCATCTAACCTGAATTCTCCATTCGTCTCCCTCCCTCCCTCTCTCTCTCTCTCTCTTTACCAAACTTCTACATCTCAAAAAACAACGAGAGAAGAGATCAAAAAGATAAATTATTTATTCTTTTTTTTTCCAAAAAAAAAAATTTCATGTTTATTTGTAAAAACTTCAAATTAGGACTTAAAAAATGGCTGACGGAAGGAAGTAAACTCAGTTCAGTAACGGCCTCCACAGACAGAAAGATTTTGAACAAAAAAAAGCAAAGAAAAAGATTGAAATGATTGAAGAGAGAACACATCTGAAACGACGATGAAGAAGAGATCAGAAAACTCATGAAAAGCTTTTCTTTGCTTCTCCAAACAAAATAATTAAATAACAGGTGTGACTAATTAAACTTATGAAAACTAAACACTGGCGCTTCAATCCGTTGAACAAGCTTAATGACCATAGCAAGGCTGTCTATGATGATTATCAAATTGATTTATCAGCTTAACCATATTGAAGTGTTTAAGACTGGGAGATACAACAAAAAAACGTAAAAGAGGATTATAGCGATAACTCTCCTTATTTTGACTTGAAATTATCAGTTTAAAAAGTAAAAGATGAACACGAACATGACGCTGTAGAAGAAGAGAACAAGAAGAAGAAGAAGAAGAAGCTTAGAGGGAAAAGCTGAAAGTGCTTTTCGAAAATGAACAAAATGATTCAAATCATCCAACAAATGACCTATATAATATAATCAGATGAATATGAATAATGAAAGATATTGCTCTAACATTCATGAAATCTGATATGATTTAAGGACATCTTTCTATCATCCACAACGACTCGAACTCTTTCAATAATCATTTCGTCATTCTCTTCACTCCCGCCCTTAGTCTTGCCCCTCCCTTCGGCCCAACCCTCTTTGCCTATCTCTCTCTCTTTCTCTCTCTTTCTTTCCTCTCCCTCGCACTCCTTCTCTCTTTGTATGTTTTTTTCTGAGAAAGTAAAAAACAGATTCACGAACAAAAGTGCCTTTTGTACATCTCCAGATACATGCATGTGTCAAACTTTATCTGACCACGTTCATCTCGCTTGATTGTCTGGTTTCAAGTCTATTTTTCAATTTTTTTCCTTCTCATCCCATCTTTTTTCCTTCCCATTTTTTTTTCTAAAAATCTCACATGACATGATATATACAGAGAGGATTGAAAAAAAAAGTGAAGAGAGAGAGAGAGAGAGGGAGCAAGAGTAGGAGGGAGAGAGTGAGAGAGAGAGAATGATAGAAATGAGCTTGAAGTGATAGTAACAAAGAAATTGAGAGATGCTTAGAGAGTAAGAAGGATAGAGAGATATACAAATGTAAGCTTGCTTACAACTTTTTTTTAAAAAATCGTTCGCTTTCATATTTCCATTTGATAAATGAGTTCATCGCATACTTGTTAGTGATGATTGTGACAATACATCATTCTCATTATGAAATTCAAACTTTTTCAGTTCAATACTATTCTTATTTCAGAAACATTTTTTATTGATTTCATTTAAGAAGATTAAACTAAATGAATGTTACGATGTTACTCTTCTTCCACAAAAACTGGCGGAGCAGATGGATTAGGATGTTTCATTTGACTTTCTGACACATTTTTTGTTTCTCTTGATGACAAAGGATTAATCTTATAACTTCGCATATAAGTAACTAGCTGTTCAGGAATCTATAAATACATTTTACATTATAATTATGATAGAATGTTCAAACGTCATACCTCTGCCAGCACCTCTTTAGCTAATTTAGCTTTCACCTGCAGATCTTCACTATCTCGCTGAACAAAATTTCTCAATGGAACAAACTGAAAATGTAATTATAAAAACAAAAATATGACAAGTGTATTGATATGAAACCTGTACTATATCTCGAGCAGCTATTCTTCCATTCAAATTCAATCGCACATCATCGCCATCCAATTCGTTCATCAAACTAAAATCAGCATCCCCTACACCTATTATGATAATTGATAATGGAAGATGAGATGCCTAAATACATAACATAATTGATATTTGCACAAAGTGGAAAAACACTCGAAATACCTCAATGATTGATTTCTTCGTTGCATTTAAATCACAGATTACTCCATCAGTTATTATCAACAGAATCTATGAGATAGAATGAATGACTATGAGTGAGGATAGATATCTCACTTCATATTGAGAGCCTTTCGTTACTCTCTTCGATGCAATTCGTTTTGCTGTTTCATTTATTATGGGAGCAAATTTCGTTGGTCCATAAAAGGTAATTTTGTTTAAACTATGTCTATATGCATCTAATACACCCTGAACTCCGCATACTTCTGGATTATTGGGAACTGGCTTAATCATTCAACATCATTACTACAAAGCATATTAGATGAAGTACCTGGGGATCTGAAAGATCAAACAATGGAATCATGAGCTTGTTTGGTGGAAGGAAAGCACCAAATCCATAAGCATTAAATACTTTCGTATAGTTATAATACTGGCAAATGTCAAGCACCGATCTGCACATAACACTGACTGTGAGAAGTTGAAAGCTGATTGTCTACCTCAGAGCAACTTCATACTGATTAGGTTTTTCATGTCCTATGTAATGTAATGAGCTTTGACTATGTACAGGGCCATTTGAAGAAGTGAAATCTATTGCCACGGTAAAGTCTAACTGAGTTCTAAAGTATAAGACAATTCAGTTAATGTAACAGCTCATATTCTCACCCTGCGGAAATATAATCACAGAATGTGTGTTGTGTTGAGACAGTTGGACAAATGTAAAGAATTCCTGTTTTTTTGTTTTTCTTCCCCTTCTTGTTTATCAGCTGAAATAAAGATTTACTCACTGTAATGGAGAAGAACGATTACCTCATAATTTGATTCTATTTCATTGTTTAATAAGCTCTCAATTGGTACATAACAAGAACCAATATAATCTGCTGTTGATCTAAATGATCAATAATTTATATTTTTTCCTCTTTTCAATGCATGCTATCCTATGGACTACAAAGCCATTTCCTGTGATTGTTGTTGTTGTTGTTGTTGTTATTTACTTACGCAAAGCATAGCCGCAAATACTCTAATCATTTGCAATACTCTAGCAGACACAAGTCGGTATCGCATAAAAGATACTCTTTTCAGACTTTCGCATATGCGCTCACTTTGTATATGAATGACGCGCTATGGGCAATAGATTTTAGCTTGGATTTAATTTTGGAACTCTATGAGCGTGTCCACCAGCTAGGCTCACGCCTTGTTTCATTTTCATATCCATAAAAGTTATCAGCGGTGCATGCAACACGGCTTTTCTCATTCTTGATTTTGTCGCGCTTGTCGAACGGTCGTGCTCACGCATTTTTTCATTTTCCTTCTTCTTATGGATGCGTAGCGGTGCTTGCAGAAACCATTTATATTTTTAATTTTTTTTTTTGCGCGGCGTCCTGCTACGCGCAAGCCCTTCATCATTTTCATTTACGCAAGCAGGCTTAGCGGTGGATAAAAATATCTGTTTCATTTTTGAAATTGATACGCACGTTAACCGGTAGGTAGTTCATGCATTTCTTCATTTCGATTCTTTTACGAGTGCTCAGCAATGGCTATAACAAGCATTCCTATTGAAAACTTTCTTTACGCTCATCTAGATGTGTTCGCATAGCTCTTTATCCCTGCATTCTCGTTAACTACCGAACGTGTGGTTAGTTTGAAGTTGCTTTCATTTCAAAGTTGTTTGAAGTTAGTAAGGTAGTTGTTAAGAAGATAACTCACAATGTTTTTTCATCATTATCCCAGCATTCAATGAGAATACTTCTATAATATATTTTTTTCATTGAATAATTAATTATGCTTAATTAACCCTGTACGAATTCCATTGCAAAGTGTTTTGAGATTAACCTCAAATGTTCTCCATTTAGGACTTCTTGAAGATTTCACAAATTCAGTTCGATGAACTAGACTCCTACTAAACTAGTACATTTTATTAGTTTTAAAGAAATTATATCAAAGAACCTTCCATCATCATTGAGTCGGTAGATGTTCAGAAAGGGATCACTATTAAGTAAACCAAAAAAGTCTTTTTTCTGAACTTTTTCAGCTCTAATTTGAAATGTAATTATTTCTCTGGCGCCCTGATCTATTTCTTCGCCTGTTATTACTAAGCGTCCACAATTGCCTCTTAGACCCCTAAAATATAGGTTTAGTTATATAGTATTGATTTGTAAGTATAACAGACTTCAAATGAGCGGTCAACGTTTCTAGTGCCACGATTTCAGCTAAATCACATTCATGATAGCCAAGAAAGTCATGGGATGATAGTTCATTGCTTTTTCCATCATAATCATAACTGAAAGCAGTTCATCTTATTCATGATATGGCATGAGAATTTTGTTTACACTTCGAAACGTAATTGCTGAATTTCTTCAAAAAAATATTCCAACTGAACTGGTTGTGCCCATTCAGGTGATAAATCGTTACGTATCATTTCTGTTCGACCAATTTCAATCCATTTCTCTTCTACAAAATGATGAATGGGGTTTATTATATTGATGTTCTACTTTTTGTTGTCTTAATATCATTTTAATTTTTTTTTAAAGCCATCATACCTCGGGCTCTGCAATTTTTCTTGTAAACAACACAACACGGATCGCTTTTGGTTAAAAAATCTCTGTCTCGTAGATTTCTTCATAAAAATAGATGATATGATGAAAATATTTTGTTTAACATACTCCGCTCTCATGCGAAGCTTCAACAGCGTCGATGGTGAAGCTGCCAGAAGTTCCGGTGGTAGTTCAATCATGCTTTCTAAGAAAAAAATGTTTTTTTTTTGCGATTTTGTAAAATATTCATCAAGAGTATCAATTAAAAGACATTCAAGCACCACAATGGAGAAATAAAAGATACGACAACAGAGATGGATTTCTATAGCGTCGTGGGGCATCGAAACTATCGATTCGTCGTGTTGTGGGTTCGGCCATGTATTTTCCATTGCCAATGAACCAAATGGGGAACAAAAGCCAACCTAATTACATAACTAGCTCATGCTCTTATCCTCTTTACCAATCGTTCTATTATGTGACATCTTTCGTCAGTTTGATGCGCTTACCGCACTTGTCAAATACAGGGAACTATGCCAATAGCAAGCACGCCACTGAGAATATTCTTTGATACGTTCATATAATAATTTATAATTTTCTCATCAACAGACACATAATTTCCTTTATTATCGGATTTTACAAAGCTTTTCAACGAACAAGAGTGACAAATATGTTGACTGATATCGAGTTGTACTCTTACGATTCTAATCACTTCGTCTGAATCTTGGTTTCAAATTTTGTAGAAGTTGCTGCAGATAAGCCGAATGTCCATTAAAATTTAGCGAGCCCCGGCGGAATCTGGAGAAGGTGTGAACATGTTGCTGATGGTAAACTACAGGCATGCTTACCTAGGAATATAGAATAGCTTTCCGGAGACACCATCTTCAAAAGATTGCGCGTCAGTTGAAACTACCAAAAAAGCTCCGACGAACAAGCAAAGAAACAAAAATTGACGAAACATTTGAAGAAAGAATCTGCCAAATAGAAGACAATGGAAAGCTGAAAAAATATAGGAAGAGATGAAGTATTGTAGATTTTAAAATGAAATATCTTCATCGAAATTTGAAAGGGCGGGAGAGAAAAGTGCCAGAAAAAGCTTCCTAGATATGGAAATTTGAGTGGACATGATCCTTGACATCTAATTGCTGAGATTTCAATTATACACTATGTTTTTCACGAGAATTAATAAGAAGAAAGAATTGGGATTGTCGGACTCGTCGAGCACATATGAATGGTCTGAATAATTTTCTGCGAACACATGAAAGCTCAGGCTTCCTTTCAGTTTTTCGGGAGCAGAAAACTTTTTTGTAAAGCTGCTGCATTGAATAACACAAAAAGAGATGTATTTGTTCAAACAAGTGACTAATTAGAAGAGATCTTGAGGTGGATATTTGAGATCAGACAAACTCAAATTTACATAAGTCGGTTTGGTTTTAAGTCTAGCCGACAGAACTTCTTAAATTCCGTGGCATTGTAAAAGCAAAGAGTTGAACCGGAAGAACATTAGTGGGAACCAACGAATCTGGTCACGAAAGGCCTGAAAAATTGAAAGAAGCCTAATCTTTGGCAAACTTCTTGAACAATTGAGCCTGGGAGGGAGCTGATCCTATAATTACAGTGAGAGATATGATCATATTCATTCCTGTGAGCGCAAAATGATAGAGAATGACCTGTAATTAAGTTGTGGAAATTGCAAACAATAACAGATTCCCATTAAACTTTATTCTCAATATTGACATGTAGAACATAAATTATTTGAAATCTTAGTAAGATGTTAACAAGTTAGGCAAAATTAAATGCACAAGTCGGGACAATACCAAAACGACTTTTTATGCTTTAAAAACCAACGTATTATGAGTATCAACATGCAAGACAATTCGAAAAAGGTTTTTAATAAACTCAACTTCAGCTTTCGTGCTTCAATGAATCAGTTGTCCCCGTCAGAGCCTGCTTCTTCGTCACCCTAGACATATCAACGTTACCCCCGATAGCACAAAAGATGACCTACCTCTTCTAGGGCCTCTTCTTCGTCGGCCAAGTTTTCATAATCACCTCCCACATCCTCTACCTCAGGACACAGAAAATGCTGGACAGGGTTGGTCCACAGGTCATCCTTCAAAATATCCGCGATGTCATCGTTACCAGGATCGACATTCTCAGCCATCCATTCGAAGAATGATAGTGGACTATCGCTGTCTTCTGTCTGAACATTTGAAATATTTTCTTTCATTCATTCATTGATTTCTTACGCGAGCTAAACATTTGGAATCTTTCCATCTGATTGGTGTAGTAGTTGAAGCAGGCTTCTCACTTATTATGAATTCCTTTTCAACCTTGAAAAATCATCAATACGTTATGTTATATATTAATCACCCACCTTTTCATTCTCAAGGTAGTCATTGGGAGCAAAAGTGAATCGAATTTTATACCCGCTTCGTGCATCTTCCGCTTCTTCAACCTAATCAAACCAAATTATGACAGCTAACACAAATTTTCTCACCTCAATATTTGTAATGGCATTCAACAACTCAACCTCTCTATCCTCTATTATTGTGCAAAGTTGTGGGTGATTAAGAATCTTAAAGTAGAATGTTGGGTTTGAAAAAAATAAAGAAAGTCGCTTACTGTTGTTGCCCAGAACTTAGGAATATTTTTTATCAGCTCTATGCGCTTCTCATAATGAGGCACTCTGAGACTGTTGTATTTCTGCTCGATCTGAAACTGTCCTGTAGAAGAAGCTTCATTATAAGTCTTACCTTCAAAATCTCATCGTATGCTTTCTCATTAATGATATCAATATCGTTTTGAATGATATCGAGTTCAATCAAAGCTTTCTTCACCTCTTCTCCCATGTCGTTGATGTGCGATGGAATTTCATCCATTTTAGCTCGTTTCGCTATAGGTTCAGTCATCCTAAACAATATGATTCACGTTTTCTTTTTTCTATACAAAAAATTGATAAAACTTAAGAAAATCATTCAAAAAACACAAAACATTAATACATATGACTTGATAGAGTCAAAGCAAATTCGAATATAACCCAACAGATATGTTTTGGCGGAATGCCAAACATATCGTGTCAGGACCATTAATTTCATCGCGTGCCGACGCGACGCGGTTGTTTGGCATACTTCCATCGGAGAGCATGACGTCAGTTGTGCGATGCCGCTTCTCTCATAGCGTGTTTATTTATTATTTTGTTTTCTATAAACATAAAAATTACTCGAAGTTCACTGCTTCTAGCTTAAATATTTTCAAATAAAAATCATAATTATCAGCTCTCAAAAATTCCAAAAACTGTTCTTAAACTATCGATGAACGTGTTAAATTTAAAATTTTGCCGCCCATGACGTTGATCCTAATTTTCCCTTTTCAGTTATGATAGCATAGCTTCAATCTATATGAGCAGTGTTATTAATTTGAAGGATTCATCTTTCTTAAAGGTTATCGTTTATCCATTCGTGTTAAAATTACAAGAAAAGACAAAAAGCTAGGTTCTCATTTCCTCAATTTAGATGAACGCACCCTGTAAACGCACATATACTGCGGTGTCACCTAGCAACGCAATCAAGAATGGTGAACAGGAATATAAGCGGAGGAGGGATAGTGACTATCAAGTGAGATCCCAAAACAAAAATGTATTTCAAATTATCCTTGTAGGGTAGCTCCCCTTCAATGACATTCTCACCTAGGACGCATAAGTCACCTAGCTTCTCTCCACTAACGGTACTACTTGTCATCATATTTTCTTCGATTTTCCAAATTTTTTCAGTCTCCCGGTTATGCTAAAACGAATAGTTGTCCACCTCCACCACCTCCCCCGAAAAAGTTTGTTACCCAAATTATCCTCTCTTCAAATATAGTTTTAGATTATCTTCTAATGAAAGTTCACCAACTATCATAATTCCTAAGAATGATGAACCGAGGTATTACATTTATTTTTTTACTCGTTGAAAAATTTTTTTTGAGACGTCCAAAAGGGCCGAAAACTCCTCCTTTACCTCCTGATGATTCCCTTGATGCGTATGGAGGTTGTTCGGCTTTTGATACGTCGACGCCTCCCCCTGCTTTAGTTAATGTTCCAAATGGTTTTGCGCAGACTATGTAAGTTTTTTTCAAAATTTATACATTCACGTAATTTATTATCTTACTTTCAGACCGTTCACGCATAACCCTTTTTTCCCTCCACCTCCTCCTCCCCCACCTCTATTTGTTGGTGCTTTTATGCCTCCTCCTCCTATACCAAATCACTATGCAATTGATCATAGTATTACACCTCAGAGCACCGTAGATGGTCCTCCGACTCTTTTGTCTCCTAAAACCTCAATAGATGTCTCTTCCAATCCCCATAATCTTGCTCATCTTCCTTCTCATAATCTTCCTACGACTCATCACAATATAACTCATAACTCAACTCATACTCCTTCTCAGAATAACACTCACAATAATCATAATGTAAATCATAGTACTCCCAACAGCTCTACTCACAATGCTACTCACAGTTCTTCTCATGGCTACTCCCACAATTACTCTCATAATTATACTAATAAGCAAAATCATACTCCACACAAAACTTCTCAAAGCTCCTCTCATAGTACAACTCACAATTCTTCTCATAAACCTCCCCACAACTCTGCTCATAATCCTCCAAATAAGTCATCTCACAATTCTTCTCTACCTAAATCTGTCTTGGAGAGTAAGTTTGATATATCAATTCTTGAAACATTTATGTGTTTATTAGCGGCCAAAGTGAAATTAACAATATCAGATATTGCGAAGCCGTTACATACATCTAGGTCTTTCGAGGTAAATATCTTATACGGAGCTCTGCAATAACCATTTATTTTAGGAAAAAGAAAAAGACAAAGTTGCACCTCCTCCACCTCCACCTCCCAGATCTTTCCAAACGAATAGGAGGTTTGCCTTTTGTATTTTTCTCCAATCATTATGCATTTTGTTAGAATAAGTGAAGAGTCTTCGAATGTGTCTGCAATAGGAAGTGCGTCTTGCTCAACGCCGACAAGTTCGAAAGCCTCAACATCTTCATCTTCGAAAGATCTCACTCTTGCCAATGATCCTATACTTTTGGATCTTCTGAGGACTTCAACTTGTCAAAGTACTTCGCCGAGTCCGAAGAATATATTGAAGAGGAAACTTTCTAAGGTAATTTTTTTTGTAATATTCATAACGTAATATTTTCTTAAAGAATGACAAACCTCCCGAACGTCGGTATATCAAGGACTGGAAAGAAGAGTTAGATTTGAAGAAAGAAGAGGCAGCTAAGAAAGCGGAAGATACTATCAGGGATACTCCGACTAAAGAAAACTCTCTCAGAGAGACTCCTTCCAAAGAAATTCCGCCGAAAGAGGTTTCGAACAAGGAAAGTCCTACGAAAGAAGTTCAGATGAAGGATATCATCGCTAAGGAGAAGCTGGCCAAAGATGCTCTTCTTAAAGAAAAGCTCAACAAAGAAGCTCTGGCTAAAGAAACTCTTGCGAAAGAGAAGCTTGCGAAAGAGAAGCTTGCGAAGGAAATGCACGCGAAGGAGAAGCTCATGAAGGAAATGCATGCTAAGGAAAAAGCTGTTAAAGAAGCTCAAGCCAAAGAGAAGTTTGCTAAAGATATGCTCGCCAAAGAAAAGCAGTTCAAAGAAAATCACGTGAAGGATAAGCAAGCCAAAGAATCTCACTCCAAGGAAACGCACGACAACGAGAAGAAAACCAAAGAGAAGCTAGCCAAAATCGCTCTGCAGAAGTTAGCGTTACAGAATCTCGCCAAAGATAATCTTGCCAAGGAGAAGCTCGAGAGAGAAAAGTCCGAGAAGGAGAAGTCGGAAAAGGAGAGACTCGCCAGAGAAAAAATTATAAAGGAGAAACAAGCCATCGAAAGACTCGCCAAAGAACGCCTTGCTAAGGAGAAACTGGCTAAGGAGAGATTGTCGAGGGAAAGGTTAGCAAAGGATAGAATGACTAAGGAACAGAGCTACAAAGAGCATTCATCGGAAGAGAAGGAACACTCAGAAAAACGTGCCAAGGAGAGGCCTGCGAAGGAGAAGAGTGCCAAGACTATTGATGGCAAACCTAGTCATGACTCTGCTGATTTGATAGGAGACGATTTTGCCAAGGCAGTTCGAGCAAAGAAAAGCGAGAAGAAGAAAGCTATCAAAGTTTCTCTTGAAAACATCCCAACTGTTTTAACCTCTACCGAAACTGAGAAGATCAACAGCAAGTATGAAAATCTAGCTAACGCTGCTTTGTCAAAAGAGGAAGGAAGATCGACTGTTAGATATCCTGGAGTAGTATTGAAAACGGAGGATGAGATCAAGAAGGAAGTTGAAAGTGAAGAGAAGGTGGACACAACGATAGTAAAAAAAGTCCCGCAAGGTTAGTTAAACTTTACGAAAATGTTTCTCATAATTTTGTTCTTCAGAGACTAGTTCTGGTAGAGCAGAGTTTGTACAATCGTTAATCATTGAAACGATTGACGATATAGAGTTCACTACTAAGGCAGTCTTGTTGGAGGTATAATACATTTTTTGTTTACCGTGATTTATTTATGATCATTAAGTCCATCACTGGAGGAGTAGCTGCTAGCGTTAAAAAGAAGAATGTCCCTAATAAGCGGCCTCTGAAGACCGTAAGTTCTTATAGTGCGCCCAGGAAAATCTGCAAGGAGTTTCCTGTATCAGCGGATAGAGTTCTCTCTGCCGAGCCAAGCACGAAGGTAAAATGAGATTTTCCACTCATTTAAACTTCTAACATTCAGCGAGCTTTTGATAAACTGCCCCCCGATCATCTCCTCAAACTTTTCCAAGAAGAATTGGTCAGTTATATTCATCGGGAGTGTATTCAACATTTATCGTTTCAGCCTGAGCACGACCAGGATAAAGTGATTGTAACCCGAGATGATTTGTGTTTTAGCTTGGATAATTTGCTATGTGAAGAAACTGATAGTAGAAGAGCACTTGCTCCAATAGCCCCACTCGTATGTTGTGTTCAAGTTTCCTAACTCATACCCTTATTTAGACAATAGTACGTGGTAAACCATCAGCTGATGATGATGCTGAGGAGAAGCCAAAAGGGAAGAAAGGCAAGAGGAAAGACACAGCCTCCTCTAAACAGGAAAAAGTGGAAAAAATGGAGAAAGTTGAAAAAGTGGAGAAGGAAGATCCTACTGTATCGAGGCTTGAGAGGAGCTCGAGACCCAGTTTTCTTGTCAATGAGTGAGTGATCTTCTTAACTGATAACTTCTAAATGTATATTTTTGTAGGTTGTTGTATCCATTCCGTAAACCGATCGAAGATTGTATGCGAAAGCTGGGTATCACCAAAGGACAGTTCAAGCTACCTTGGCTATGCAAGAAGGTAGAACCGAACTTGAAACTCTCGATGTTAACTTTTGCATTTCCAGTTTATTCCATTTTTGTCATTGGAAAATCATCCTAATGGCGGTGGAACTATTTTGAAAGCTGATTGGGTTTCTGTCGAAGCTTCTCTATCTATGTATGAAAGGTAAGGATAGTTTTTGTTCACAGCTTTCAACAACACCATTATAGAGAAAGATTTGCGCAACAGTTTATTCGGTTCGGTATGGCTGAAATTGAGCAAACCCCGATTTTCGTCATGGCCGTTATCAAGAACTCTGCTGCATTTTTACCTGTAAGTTCATTTCATTGTTTCTCGTTATACAAAGTTTTTTTCAGGATATATTCAATCATCTTGCTAGAAAATATCCGCAATTATCAATCAAAGCTGGGTCTCTCATTAATAAACAGCTGGTGGAGACCCTCTCACTTGGGAACTATCATAGAGACGTGATGGACAGCTTGATGAGTGGCACCTTCCGGTATGTTTTCTTCTCTATTTTGATCTAATCTCGAACTGTTAAGCTCTGGTCCATTATTCTCGGTTTCTCTCGTAGGAGCAAAACAAGAAGAATCTGGAGACTATTTCCCTGAGATTATTTCGGAATTAAACGCTAACGTTATTCTGAACCCAATAATGCCTTGGGGTAGATGGAGTAAATTGTTTAATACGAAAATAACGGACAGTGATGATGGACCTATCTTCTGGGTTAGGCCTGGTGAACAAGTATGTTTTTTACCAAATCACTCTTGAACATTGTTGTTTCTAGTTAATTCCAACAGATGAGGTTAAAGATGATAAGAAGGGAAAGAAGGGTAAAAATCAGAATCAATCTCAATCAAATCCCACGGCCCCTCCAAATCCTTATGCAGGATTACGGTATTTTAATCATAATGTTTTCCATTTGAGTTTTGAATATTCGTTTCAGTCATGAAAGGAGAGAGTTGTTGTTCGAGGACAGAACTCCATGCCATGCGGACTATGTTGGGGATGGATTGGAAAGAGCACCAACAGGAGCTGTTGGAATCCTCCAGGCTATATTAGCAGGAGACGAAAAGTAAGAACTATTTATGGGAAATGAAGCAATTTTCTTGTTCCAGGCCTGGAACAAATCGAGCAGTTAAGGATGTTGTGTGTTTCCATGCAGCTGATTTTGCTGCTGTAACAGAGAGGCTGCAATTAGATTTATACGAACCTCCAATGTCGCAGGTTTAGCATCAATTTCATCTCCCTGTTAAGCTTTTTATTTCAGTGTGTTCAATGGGTTGAGGAAGCTAAACTTAACCAGTTGAGGAGAGAAGGAGTAACGTATAGCAAAGTCCAGGTCAGAACCGCCACAGTAGTCAAACTAAAATGTTTTTTTTTTCAGCTCCATCATAATGATATTTACTTCTTGCCGAGGAAAATCATCCATCAGTTCCGTACAATTTCTGCCTGTTCTTCAATCGCTTGGCACGTCAGATTAAGACAATATTATACTGAAGATCCAGCTGCAGCCGCTGCTGCTGCTGCCGCTGCGGCCGCTGCCGCAGCTGAAGCTTAAAATAGGAAAAGTGTTGAAATAGCTTGAAAATTTGATTTCGGATGAGGTACTCTTCTGATATAGCTAAATTCGCTAGATAAAAGTGTTCATGTTTACGTTCAGGATACCAGCTTTAAAAGTTATGGTTTTGTTGATATCGATTTTGAATAAGTTTTTTGTTTAATTTTGTTAAAGTTGTAATGATCTATGTCTATGTCAGTAGCCGATTCTCTGTACAAATGACTACTGTTGTCGTCTCTCATCTTATATCGTTGATCTCTTCTGTACCCGTTCTGAGAGTAGAAGTTAAAATTTAACTGTTTTCATATTACAAATTCTACGGTTGATGAGCTTTTATTACATATTTCATCTTTTACTTGTACATATTTCTTATTTATATTTGAAATCTAACTGTTTTAAACTTAAAGTTGTAAAAATGAGTCTTTTTGACTTAGTTATTATGAGTATTGCAATTTAACCCGATCGACGATGTTAATAGATATGCCTAGTTTCATTCATAATAAACTTTTTTCGAAAACAAATGGTGCTGTTAGTGGCAAATGTAGTCTCAGTTAACCAAAAGCAAGATTCGAAAGTAGCAGACGACAATCAGCGAACAAGCCCATGAAGGTTGCTTATTTTTCTTTCTGTTTCATAGAGGATAACTTGATTATCATGTTATATGTGTGTATGTCTGAGTGAGTGTTTAGCATTGGGAAGCACGTCACCCTCCTAATTGGCTTTTCTAATCGGATGAACTTTGACTGTTTCATCTTCACCTTTTAGTGAGGATGGGTAATTTTTGAGCATTCGTATGCATGTGTTGTCTGGCCTGATGCTCCAGTTTACTCTCTTTCATCGGTTTTCTTTCTTGTCTTTGCTCTTTCTTTTCTTTTTTAACTCGCTTGGGAATCAGCCAGATGAATTTCCTCTGGTTGCTTCAAAGCGAGAATTCTCAGTTTTGACCCAAAGATCGACGTTTTTAGCCTTCAATGGGAATGAAAGCATTTTGAGCTTCAACCCGACCACTGAAACAGATCAGCTTTTCGCTTTATTAATGAAACTTGGCTATGAATAGTTATTTATCGTGTAGTTGTTTTCAAGAGGAAAATGGAAAAAGTAAAATATTCATTCATCATTCTAGTTTTCCTACCAATAAGTCGTTTAACTACAATTTCTTAGCAGCAGCAGCATTTTTCATTTTTCTGCATTCGTTGCTATCAGTTCTCATTATTTGTCTCATATCGTTGAGTTCTCTCGTTCAGCTCATTTCCCCCTCCCTCACTCTCTCTCTCTCTTTCTCTGTCTGTATCTCTCTCTCTCTCTCTCTCTCTCTCTCTCTTTCTGTTCTCGCTCAGCCATCTGTTATCAGCAATTTTTTTTGTCAAACAAACATTAAGTTCAACTGATTTCACTACTTGTCCCAAATGATGAATTATAGGCAAGTCTTTGAAAGTCTTTACTTCGTCTGCTCAGACTTAAATAGGGATAAGCATATTCCTGTTTTGCTCAAGATGCACTCCATGTTCTCTGAATCACTTTTTTTCTGCCAGTGCTTTTGAGCATTCCAATTAACTCATTTTTTCTTTAATGTTTTGCATGTTTTCAGAAAAAGGTTATTTCGTCCTGTAAGCAAGTTTTCGATCAACTCAAAACATAAATTTTTCTTTTTTTCTGCCCGTTTTCCCTGCGAGACCATGTCAATATAACAAATGGCTTCACTCATTCTTCGTTCTCCTTCCAAACTATACTAATATTCATTTTTATTTAATTACATTCTGTCTCAACTCCAGTCTGCCCATTTCCATGAACAAATAGCAAATTGAACATTAAAATGATATTTTTATGGCTTGCAAGACTGAATTCCTCCAGCAAAAACGGTCATTCTATGCAAATTTCAAATTCAACTCTATTTTTTAGTGACGAATCAACGTTCAGATGCACTGCCTCTGATCTCTCAACTTCATGCTTTCGTAGTTTTTCTTTCAATGTCTTGAATAAGAAAAATCTCAATTTCTTTTTCATATCTCAAGTGCTGTTAACGTACAGGGAAGAACAAAAAGAGATTTTCAGAGGTTGAGAGAGAAAGAGAGATAGAGATAGAGAGAGAGATAGAGATAGAGGGTGAAATAAAAGGAAAAAAAGTTTTTTTGTGCTGGTTGAAGAAAATCCAGAAGAATTAAAGTCTTTATTCTGTCTCGATAGCTTTTCCCCTTCTTTGTTGTGTCTATTTTTCCATAAAAGGCAATTGGATTTAATGAATTTTTGGAAGATTTTTGTGTGTCCTTTGCAGTTGTGGCTCAATTCTTTCTCGTGTTTCTTCTTCTTCTTTGTCTTCGTTTATTTGACTTTTTATTATGGAAGATAGATATGTGTTTATTCCGTTTGCGGATTTTAAAATAAAATATTTTTTCGTTCGCCTTTTATGGCCAAAAAGAAGTTTGAAAAAAAAAATTTTTTTTTATTTTAAAATTTCATTTTTGAAAAGTTCATGCGAAGTGCTTGAACCTACTGGTAGATTAGATGGATAGTTAGAAAATCTGACATTTTATAAACTGAATGACAATATAAATTTTTATGCTTCATTTGTTATTTCGGTTAGCATACTCTCGAACGAATACTCTTTTCCACAAAACGTTCTACCAACTCTCAATCTATTCGGCTTCTGATTGTGAATGGTTTGACCCGAGGATGGAACAGAGACGAAAAAAAAAAGTTGAAAAAAAAAGAAAAAATGTTGAAAAACTCTCCAAGTTTTTGTCTTTCTGCTCATTTCTGCTCGTCTCCATTTCGAATACAGCCCATCGACGCATCTTCCAAAATGAAAGTCCTTGACGCGCACGCTAATTTTGCAAGCTCTCCCTCTTCCTCTCTCTCATAACCCACGATATCCATCCTCATCTCGAACCTCCATACACCCTCCCCCCCCACCCCTCACGTAGTTTCAGAATCCACGTGATAATTTATTTTTATCTTCATCATCTTAATGTATTTGCAAGTTTTCTCATCACCACCGCACTTATTCTTCTGCTCTGTCCTTATTTGTCGTTGTCTCATGTTGTCTGACGATGTCTTCCTTTGCTTCCGTTGGCAAGCTATCCTCCAAGCGTCTTTGCTCTCTAGAGCCTGTGTTAATTCAAAAAAAAAAAGAAAAAAAGGTCTCATCTAGGCTTAACACACGCAATTTCCATTTCGTTCTTTTTTCAACTTGCTTCAATAAAACTGAGAAAGGAACATTTTGCCCATCTTGAAGTGGTTGGATTGCTTGCACCTTTTACTAATTCCATCCTCTCACACATCTTCTTACTGCTTCTTCTGTTCTCCTCCCAAACTCGTATTCGATTCATTTTCCCCCCGTTTTTTGTCTAGACTACAACCAACTCATACAGATTCGATCTCTCTCTCTATATACTTATATCTCTCTCTCTCATTCTCTTCCTCTTCTATATGTTAATTTTAGATTGAGTCAAAGCTTCATTTCCTGTCTTTGATATTCGTCATAGCTACATGTGCCATGATATGCTCTGCTTGTTCTAAGAAAACGTTTTTAATATCTTATATCTATTATTTTATTCAAATTAAAATTATTCACTTATTGAACGGAGGGAGGGTTGGGGGAGTTGTTTCATCTGATTCACATCTTTCTCTCTCATCTACTCTCACTTACTTTCTTTGCTATTCCTTAATGTCTTTGCTCTTAAAAACTCATGAGCTCTCTCTTCCAGCTGAACTTCTGCTCTAAACGAGCTAAGATCATTCGGCAATGTTGAACCTGGAATTGAGATGAAAAGAAGGAAAGAAGGAGAGATAGAGAGGGAAAGAGAGAAAAGAAAAGGGTGTAGAAAAGAAGGGAGGGAGGGAAGGAGGGAGAAAAGAGATGCTTTTCGACAGCTTGTTGGTTACTCAGAAGCGATCTTTCCTCTTCTTTTCCTATCGTTTACTAAGTAAAGAAATAAACGAAAAACAATATTCTCATTTTTGATTACCTTCTCTGCTCACCCGATTTTTCATGTTTCAAATTAGAAACTCAAGTAGATGACGCGCTATGAATAGATTTGAGAAAAAATAAAAAAAATATATTTGAATATTCAATGGCGTATTCAATTCTCTTTATAATGTAGTAACGTGCTTTCTCTCCCTCTATATTTGCTCACAAAAACACTGATCAGATCAAAGTTCAAGCATAGGAGAAGGTTTCAAGAACTTTTTGTAGTTTTCACTTGTTTGCCCAATATTGTTTTCTCATAAATTTTCTTTTTTCGGTCATTTTTTTTCGTCTCCTTGTTTGGCGGTCGTCTTCCAGTCGGCAGCGGCTGCGGCGGCTTTTTTTTATTCGTAAAAAGGTTTTTTCTCAGCTTTACCATTATTTAATTAGAATATAAGTTAAGAAAGTGTTACATCTGTTGCTCATATTTTACCAACAAAAACTTTTGTTGAAGCTCCATGTATTTCTGTTTTTTCCTTCAATCTCTCTCTCTCTCTATCTCTCTTTGTTCGCCTTTGAGTGACTACAGATAGAGAAAGAGAGAGAGAGAGAGAGATTGGATTGAATGAATGAATGAGTGTGTAACATTACTTTTCTTCAATCATTCTATTATTTAATAACATTGTATTATCTATCTTTCATATTTCCAACCTCTGAATGAAGTTGAAAGTGAATCTATGAAAATACGTTTTGCTTTTTCGAAAAAACCTTCAATGAGCACATACATACACGCCTGGGAGTTGTCCCGCGATGCAGACAAGAGAGACGGCGAGACAGAACTGAAAATTAATAGTTTTCAATGAGCTTTGTGAGAATAAGTTATTAAATGAATTGTTCACATGAAAATCTTAATATATATTTGTCATTTTCTTTTTCATTCTATTCTTCTTGTATAAGATACCATTATAGATGCCCACGACTATAACTCCGGATGTTCAGGCGCGATATCGTTGCTTCTGTGGTTTATGTCATGTGGTGGTGAGCATCTCTCTTCATTATGTTTCCAATAATTTGCTTTTTCTTCTTCCAGACAGGAACTCAGCTATGTCTTATTTGGTATGGAATGTTCTCTATATTTTCCATGATGTTCGGAATGAAATCGACTCTGACATGGGTTATAGTGCCAATCATCGTTACTTCATTGGCTATATATGGTTTAATCACAAGAAAACATAAATATCTCTATCCTTTTCTTATTATCACAGTATGTACGACATGTTGTTCTCAACTTAATGTCCTTTTAAGGTTGTTCAACAGTTCGTCGGCATTTTGATGGCTGTCATCATTTCAACTTTTTCCTTCTTCAGCTTCGATACGATGAGACAGATCATAGGTTCTCTCTTCATGATTTAATTATAATTTTCTCATGGCTATTTGTAGGTCATTCATTAGACATTGAAGGACCCCCTTCGAAAGAAACTGCCATATTTGTCATATGCGGGACTGTCATAGCTTGTTTTCTATTAACCATCATCCATTTCTGGCATTCACTCATCATTTATAGGTATAAGGATATATTCATATTTTTCTCTTACTTATAATATTCTTTATCAGATGTCTAGACTACTATGAGCATGAATATCATCGTTTAGAGGATTGTATGTCGAAGTCAGTTCCAACACACTGCCAGCTAACAGACAATCTTGAGCATGGAATACAACAACAAAAATATTCAGCTTAATATCCTTAAATACTACATACATATTTGTGGAGAGTAAGATCATCTAGGAACAAGTCAGTCATACTCAGAACAGCATTGTTACCTCTAGAATTTGATTCTACGAGTCATTGTTGAACGTTTGTTAGACTAGACAAGATGGTTGTTGTGAAGGCACAAAGGCCATTTCGGATATCATACGAGATCATAACCGTAATATATAACTTCAATCAATGCACATTATGGGTAACGAAAACAACTCGTTTGAAAATAACCTTAAATTCATTTTCTTCTCAACAGAGTATTTTCTTTTTACACTTTGAAATTGGATTAAACGCATATCGCTCCATATTATCACTCCCCTTTCCATAATTATATTTATCACAATTGTATAGTTAATAAAAGATATATATGTTTTTAACAAAATATTCTCTGGTTCTATCCATTTATGTATGAGAGACTTCAGAGTCCACAATGGTTCAAGCACAGTATCTATAAGGCACACAATATCTATACTTCAGATACCTTGTGTATGTGAACATATCATTCATATCATTGAACATATCCTTTTTCAAATAACATTCTTCTCTCTCTCTCTCTCTCTTCTTGGAAATGGTCCGCTCGAGAGACTCTCCAAAAACGAGAATGTTGCTCATTATTCCGTTGATAAATGAAATATTAGAATTTTTGTTTTTGTTAGCTCTGCCTTAAGAGATATTCTATGAAGCATCGATTGTCTCAATATCCCCAATGGACCCTTGAGCTCCCAGATCTTGAATGCCAAAGCTTCAGATAATTTTAGTCTCTGCAGTCATATTAGGGCGAGGAAGTAGCTTTTCGTTTGACCTGACGAGATAATGATGAAGTTGTGACGACTTCTTCAAATTAGTTTGCAAAATAGATGTTCTCGTGACGTGGATAGGAGTTCCAGACACCATCATGAACCATTAGGACTTACGAGCAGACAGCTGAAACAAATTATGATATGACATCAATCTATATAGCAAGCTTTCAGAGTATTGTTTTGGTCCTAACGTCTTCTAACCAAAAGCTGAGCATAACAAACGGCTACGCGTTTTGAACCATCTAATCAGTATCGTTGTGTCAGTAATCAACCTTTAGAAAGGGAAATTTCTTCTCCGAACGACTTAAGAGGGGAAAACCCTTTTAAGACGCATAAAACTTCTTATTTTATAAGGAAAAGAGGAAATGAATCTTCGCATATTAGTCAGCGAAAAGGCCAGGGGGTTCAAACTTCAAATTACTCGAAATGACGAGGCTCTAACACGTTTACGGTTGTCATGTTTCATCGAAGCTCTTTGATCAGTTAGCATATCTGAGCGGATTCTTTGTTTTGAATTCAATCTTTTCTTCCAATATGTTTTTGAAGAAATTCGTTGGTTACACTAATGAGTCCAATACTTTATGGTTGAGTAAGCTGTAGTGATCATGACTATATCTCCATCTGATAGAAGCAAATCTTTCAAAGTCTTCAGTTTCTCAGAAGAGCAAACTGAACACAGCCGCGGTTGCAGAGAATTTTGAAAGCATAAAGAAGGAAAAATTAAAAAATCAAATCTCATCGTGAGACTCGAAATGAAGAGACTAAATTCGAATGCACGGAAAGCAAAACAAACAAAAGTTAAGCGTATTTTCTGTGAAAAACTTATTCAAACTCTCCAAATAATAGAGAAGGAAGTAGACCCCATGGAATAATTGCTTTTGATTCGAACAAGGTGGTGGTTCCAGCACAACTCAATTGGAGATACAGAGTACGAGCTATTCAGAAGTAAAAATAGATCAGAAGAACGGGATGGAAGTTGAACTCCGAACACGGAAACGTCGAGTAGTTATTTGTATATATTTATATACATTATTTTTGAAACAAAGATGGCAAGTAAAACAAGCAGAGAGACACGTATGTGTGTGTGTGTGAAACTCAAAAATAAAACTTTGAAATAAATAAAATATTCTGTGTGTTCTTTTGATATAACTAGTTGAACTTATTAAACAGAG